AAAAAAAAGCAAAGATAACACGGAAATCTGAAAACGTTAACATAATTTTGTGTAGCAGATAAATGTTGACTCTCTGTTGGCTTTCTTATCTTGTTTATAACCTCATGAGCCTTTGGAACCACTAAATAACATGTAGTCCTAAATAAATGCTGCTGTTATGTAGCCTATAAATTGGGGCTGCAACTATCTATTACAAAAGTAGGCTAGGTGTTGATTTTTCAACTGATCAATTATTCACCTGGTCATTTCACATCTGGTATAAATCACTATATGTGGGCAGCATTTGCCTATTTCACACTCTAATGCATAGTGAGGAAAACATTGGTCCTACACTTTTTAATTCATTAAAAAAAATAGAAAATCATCTAAAATAATTCTTTGATGCCTATGGAAAGCTTTTTTTTTTCTTGCTGTTTTGTTTATCTACGTTCACGCCGGCATGTTATATTATTTCCTATACCACTTGAACGTTGCATCATCTCCCATTGAGTGGTTTTCCCTTGTGCCCAATATGGCCGACATCACAAACTCAGATTGAGGAGAAAATACACCATCTGGCTCAGTACCAACTAAATAAAGCTGTTCTCATTTCCATCACTCAGTCTAATCGTGTAAAATATCTTTAAACTGGATCATTTTGGGCATAAAATACCGATGTTGTATCGTGTAGTTTAACCTTTAAACCTTATTCACAATCGGCAGACATCTGGCGCCCTCTAGGTTGTATGAAAGGATAACTGGGTTTATGTTTTTACTTATATTGCTATCAATATTAAATATAATCCTGCAGTTAACACATGCTGTATGATAGTTTATTTAACGTCCTGTGGTAGGTTTATCAGTCTCATAACATTTCCAAAGGGTCCATATTTCTTCCCAAGATAATATTAATAAAACAAACTTGGATAGGCCAAGATGTTTTTGAGAGGAGGGTGATGTTGAGATTGCATTTTAAACATCTTGTTTCAGCAAAAACAATGACTACTACACTGCAGGTTCAATATGAGTGCTGAGATTTCTTTGAAGTGTTTCTGAAGTGATTTGCTGACCCCTACTGACTTTGACTGCACTGTGCGCAGGCGGCTCCTGGAAAGCGGCCCCTGAGGGAAGCGAGATCTACTTAATGCACACACACACACACACACACAGGAGAAAAAATCTATAGTGAGTCTTTTTCACTAAATCTGTGTAAAAATGTAGCGATGGCATCACAATTATTTGTATACTGTTCTATGTTTCTATGACTTTTTAATACACAAGCCTAAAACGTTAGATAACTGAATACTCTGAACTCAAGTTTCACCTCCTACTTTTTCCTCAGAGTTTTCACTGTAATTCATGGTCTTCTTCAGTGACGGTAACTGGAATTATTGTATCACAGATATATATTTCTATAAGATCAAGAATTAACATTTAAAACGTTATGTGTGTCTATAGTTAGGCCAATAAAATGTGGAGCTTTTTCAGTGGTTCCCAAACTAGGGGTTGAGACCTCTTCAAGAGGTCACAAGATAAGTCTGATGGGGTCACAAGATTATGGAAGATTCAGCATGCCAAAACTAAAAACAAATCAAACTAAGAACTAAATGTGAAATGCACAACACGTTCTGACTCCCTTATCGTCAAATACTGCCGCTTGGTCAGTAGCTCTCTGCTACAAAATCGGTACCTTTCACATCATTTCTGGATGCGTTAGGAAGTAAGGAAGAATAAATATGCAATGTCCAGTTAGATTTTCAAAATAAATCTTGCAGTTTGATTAAGTTTGGGCACAAAAACTATTTATTTACGATTAGGAAAATAAATTACATTATGTACCTGAGGTAACTTAATTATGTGACATAAATCCTGTGTTTGTTTGAGTCATCCATCCACCCCACCTCCTCCATATGTGGACTCTCTTTCTCAGTCTTTATACTACGTCACCTGACTTCGATGACGGGCATGTCCAGAAATTACACTAGAGGAATACTAACAGTGTCATATTTTCAAGCGCATGGCCACTGATCAAACAGCAGTATTTGATGACTTGGGAGTGAGACCGGGTTGAAACACACTCGATATGTATCCATTTACTGTGTGTTATAATTTAATGAAAAATATTATGTCTAAAACATAAACACACATTAAAAATGAAATTCATATTACAGTGTGTCACATTAGGCATTTTCAATCTTCCATACAGGATGATAAAAAAAGTAGTTCTGCTACACAATTCAAATCTTTTGCTTAAAAAAATATAATGCAAAGAAATAAAACAGACCCAAAAAACAAAAACTCGTGCAAGACTTTATAGATAATATAATTACATAAATTCTACACATTTCTCTTGCAAAACAGATCAAAACGAGATAACCTGATTAAATGTAGGGTATATTTAGAAAAGAAAAGCTGTAAAGATAGTCTAAAAACATATCTTCTTATTTGAATGACTAATATAAGGACAATTCTTTACTCATCTTTTCCTTCCTCCCCTCTGTGCGTGCACTGCTGATGATGAATGAACCACGTTTCCCTTTTTTCCTCATGATGGCGCCGTTTACTCAGGCTACCGAGCGGCGTCTATAGCTGCTGTAACAGGCCTAATATTAGAAAGTCTGCTCCAGCTGACACATATGGGCTTTAAGTTTTGCTCTTCAAGGCAATCACGCACCGCGAAGAAGAAGTTGAGCATAGGCCCCCCCTCGGCCAATAACTGGCTCTTCTCGTCACATTGCGTCAGAGTAAACAAAACGCTGACGTTAATCTCTCTCCTCTTTGGCAAAAGCCTTCAATTGGTTGCTGAGCTATAGGTCTGATTCAGTGCTGTACAGAGCTAAATCAAAAAAAAAGATGTGGTAGTGGGGACCTGGAGTTTATAACGAGCCCCCATACAGGACTGGAATTAGATTTTTTTTAAACAGGCCTCCAAATTAAAACTTCCATTCAACACTCTGCTGCTGTCATGGATATTAATGTCAAGTTTATACTTCTCTGCGATTTAATTTGACTGGATTATTGGCAAATAATAAAGAGCATATTACAGGGAAGTCTCAAGCATTAAGACTTTTTTTTGTGCCATAAAAATGCACCAATTGAGGCTGCCTCAGCCCGGTATGGGTGGAAGGAATAAGGCCCGGCTGCTCCTTGGTTAATTGCCACATACAGAGCAGTACAGCTACGAGCCTTTTGTCGGGGTTTCTTTTTACTTTTTCGTTTGAACACATCAATCAGCTCATTATAACGACACAGACAATTTCAGAACAATGTCGAGAAAATGGGTGAATCGTTTCTAAAGCCACGTAGGCTGACAGCTCCCTGAACCGGCATCCTGCGTCACCAAGCCGGCGTTCAAATCACATTACGTGCCTCGTTTATTTCAACAATGTAACAGTTAGGCCGAGGCCTTTAGCGCTGTCATTGCACGGCCATTACCCCCCCACCCCACCCCCGACCATTACCACCCCACCCCTGAATATCCAGTGAGAATTTATTGGAATGATTAAGAAAAGTTACTGTAAATACAAAAGCCGCAATCTGAGAGGATTGTTCAGCACCGGACAGCTTCCGGGTCCCAGGGCCCTTGAACTTGGCACCGGAAGCTGAATTTCTCCCCCCATTCAAACATCCAGTCACAATAACCACCAACCACCAGGCAAGACGATCATGTTCCCAGCTTCAGTCATAAAATCAATAAGCCTTAATTTGGACTTAATGTTTGACTCTCGGGGGGGGGGGGGGGGACACCGTCCTGTGGCGAAAGTTCATGAATTCAATGATTTGATCAACATTTCGGTTTTTCATTAAAAAAAAAAAAAAAGAAGAAAAAGAAGTTTGGAGTAAACTTCCATCTTAGGGGGAGGTGGAGTGGGTAGGGTGAGGTGGGGGGGGGGGGGTAGTCTGAACGATGCATCGTGAGGAAGGAACTGTCTTTTATATTCCGGGAGGTCAGACTTGATGAGTCTATTAGCATCCTTAATGTTGATTCTATTGGAGGGGAAGGAGGAGAAGAGTGTGAGTGGAGAGGGAGGAGGGAAGGAGGGAGGCAGGCTTACGATACAAGGATAAAAATCCAAGGCAATCACAGCACAGGACAAAAGTTTGGAGCAACGATATGTAGACGAACATACGGCGCACTTTCCCACCGAGTTTTCTGTCTGCCTGTGCGACTGTGCTGCTCGTTGTGTATAAAAGTGAGATAGGCTGCTCTGAGGGGAACGTAAGGAGACGACGGAGGCGCTTCAGCCAGGAAAAGAAGTGCCTTGAGAAAGAAACCAGTCTCTCTCTCACACACACACTAACCACAGCCGCGCCCGGATCACATCCTACAGCACAGCTCTCTGCTTCCCTGCTATAGGTATGTGCTTTATCTGCGGATTGTCTTAAAAACAAAAAAAAACTCGGAGAAATTCATTGATGGAGAGCGAGATAAAGTAATGGAAATTATTCCCTTTTTTTCCTGCATGGAGATCTGCTGTTTTTTTTAAAAATTACTTTGGCGCTGCATGCAAAGGATTCGGTGCCCATAGTTAAACTTTTACGAAATGGGATGAATGAAACAGACTAAAAATGTTTTTGGTATTAGCAAACCGGACGTGTGTTTTTATTCCCGCTCATTTAAACAGGTTTTTATATTCGATCCAGCTTTGTAGTTTGTAATAGGAGAAGTAGCACTGTGTGTGAATCTGACAGAACAAAAGAGCGAGCATGTTGTTTCTATTGCACTAACCTGTTTAATGTTCCGTTTTTTTTTTCATTTTCTAACAGCATGGCCAGTTCGAGTAAAGCAACTTTAATCTTGCTCATCTACGGAATCTTAATGCACTACAGCGTCTTCTGCACACCTATCGGACTAAGTTATCCTAAGATTAGGTAGGTGTACGCGCTTCTTGCCTCTTTATAACCTGATCATGATAGTATTTTTTTAATTCATACCTGTTTAATGCTGCTCAAGACCATTTTTGTTTAATGATATTGCATTGTGATTTATGGTAAAGTCTTATTTTATTATTTGGATTTGGGGACTTTTATATTAAAAGTGTGCGTAATTGCGCACAAACTCTGCGCCCAATTTTAAATCACAGAACTGAGAGAGATGACAAAGGGAGATGCGGTAATTTTAACACACACAAATGCAAGTCTAGTGTGGAAAATGGAAATGGAAATTGCGTAGAGGTATCTGTCCGGTGGGACGGTTCGCAGAACTCCCCTTATTAAAAATGAGAGTGCAGTCAGTGCAATGGATAGCTCTTGGGATGACGGTGGACTGGCGTCACCATTGAGAGGCGAGGCGAAACGAATAGGAGAGCTCTATCCATTTAAGATTTATTCCTTTTTTTCCCTGTGAAAAGTATATACATAATTTGGGCGTGGTTCGTACTGATTCTAATTTTTCCACTGCTATAATTGCAGCATTCTTTTAATAAAAGGCTGGCTCCACGCCTACACTAAATGCGATCACTTTCACACCCATTGTTTCGATTTTTAAATATTTAATGAGGCTGTGTTGCCTCTGCTATGAGCAGCAGCATCAAGTTGGAATTAAAAAAACTGATTTTCCCGATGAAAAGAATCTATTTAACGGAAAAAAAATGAATCTACAAACATTTAACACATTTTAAGCCATTATTTTTATTTTTTGGTCAAATTTAAATAATTCGTTTTCTGGGTTTTATTTAAAAACACCTTCAGCTATTTATTTTCCTTTTCTTCTCCAATCTCTAATGCATTTAACCTCCCACTGGTTTTAGAAACTGATGCAGACATTTTGGCATTCTTACACTCCTGCGTCCCACTTGAGCACAGATCTAATTTGTGATGAATGCTCTCTCCTTTTTTTGCAGACTTGAAAACGACGCCTTCGACGAGGATGGGAATTCATTATCCGACATGGGTTTTGATAGCGACCAGATTGCTATACGAAGCCCACCATCCCTAAACGACGACGCGTACACTCTATACTACCCACCAGAGAAGAGGTAAACGTGCTCTCACATCACAGCTATGAAGCCTCCAGCTGGATTCCATGTTAATGACTTTTTTGCTGTTTTGCGATAATGTTTGCTTGCTTTGGTTTTTCCCAGAGTATTTCATGTTATTTGTTCAGTGTTATTTTCATACCGAGTAGCCTAAAATGTTGGTTCCAAATATTGTTAATAATCAATATAAAAAGCTCGGCAGATTAAGGAACGATACATAAGCCTGTGTGCAAAAAAAAATAATTAAAAAAAGGCTACGAGGCTCCGATTTAATAGCACCTGATGTGATATTAGACCTGCGGGTGGGTGGGGGACATTTTAGGCTACTTTTGATCATTTTGTCTGCGCTTTTTTTAGTCACTGATGATCTGTGTGTTTTGGCGTTTTATCATCTCAGACCAGAAAGGCATGCTGAGGAAGAATTAGATAGAGCCTTGAGGGAGATCCTGGGTCAGTTAACAGCGAGACATTATCTGCATTCTCTGATGACAATTCGTGCAGGGTAAGGGCATTTCTTATAAGCGTTCACCTGCAGTCATCATCCTTTATGTTTCACCGCTGCACAAGTCCAGGCTGCTGCATCACTGTCTGTCATTATATGTGCGTGTTTTATTTATTTATTTATTTGAATCTCTCTCTCTCTCTCTATATATATATATATAAAAACAACGTCTAGACATTTCCATGACCTTCCTTTTGTGTTTTTGATGTGGCGTGGCACTGCGTTCATGATTAGTGATTAAGAACAGAGGGTCAGTTTTGAGAGTAAAATGCACTACGATTTGTGATCAATCGATAAATTGATTTTGTTTGCCCTATTAAAAATTCGTGCGCCAGAAGATGCAACGGGGCTGCAAATTAATAATTTATAACTTTTCTTTAAAAAAATAAACGCTTAAATACACTGTCTTGCTTGCCGCCTTTTTTCAAACGAAAAAAAAGGATAAAAGGCCCATAAATGCATTTTTAATGATTATTAATGAACTTTGCATCATGGAAAGATAAAGAGGTTATCAAAGCTGAGATGTCAAATCAAAGAAATAAAAAAACAGAGCAGAACTGCTAAGAGGTGGAAGGCTGCAGCTTTAACTAATGTTATTTTCTTGTTTGTTTGTTCTTTCTTTGTTTTTTTCAGTGAAGACAACAGCATGGAGGACGAGTCAGAGCCCTTATCCAAAAGACATTCAGATGGGATCTTCACCGACAGCTACAGTCGCTATAGAAAGCAGATGGCCGTGCAGAAATACCTGGCAGCGGTTCTGGGAAGAAGGTACAGACAGAGAGTTAGGAACAAAGGACGCCGACTTGCCTATTTGTAGCGTTGTTAAAGCGCCCAAACTGCCCTCCTGTGTATATACATCCAGTCGTTAAATCAGTCATTCAGATATATCTGACCAACCAGTGGATTGCGCCTGTGTTCTTTCAACATGTATTTATGTATGAAGTAAAGCCATTAAAATGAATATTTTAATAATAATATCGTTTTTTTTTTCTTTTTGTACAAAAGCACTTGATACCGCACAGTTATACTTTGTGGACCAATATTTTATTTTCATGTTAAGATGTTGAAAACAAAACAAAATGACTTAAAAAAAATAAAAATAAGAAGAAGAAATCTGAAAAAAAAAGATAATTGTGCACCTTCAACGTTATGCGCTTGAAATCTTTAAAGGTCATCTACATATGCAGAAAATAAATAGATTTTAAAAAGACAATCAAAGTATTGAATGTTATACTTATTTTTGTAACCAACGTTCTATTTTTTTAGTGTTGTTTGTTTTCCAAACAGGCCCAAAGAAGCAGTGAGCATGCTATGTGAGGCACATCGGGCTTATCCTAAATGATAGATGTTGCCCTTGTCCACCCTTCTCCTCGCTCTCTTAAGGGGAACTCTGTGGGTTTGTATAGCTTGCTGCCCCTACAAGGGAATTCAGATAGCTTCTGTTGTACAGCCTCTCATTTGATGGATAACTGATTGGCTTACACAGCCATTCATGTAACTGGTGGTAAAATCCAACCTCTTTTTAAACAGAAATTTAATTGCAGGCTTTTGCAAGGGCATTGTTGCCTTTACCAAACATAAAGGAAGCACTCAAGTTGCTGTCAGCAGAATGCGGCAAACACTGCTTGCTCACTTGCCTCAAAGTAATTTACTGTAGGAGATAAATCATGCTCGATAGGACTGTGTAAAGAATGTGTGTCCCACATGTGTGTATTATGTACAGTATAAAATTACACAGTGCACATATTCATCTCAATGTTGTCTGTGTTCAGTCAACACAATTATCTGGAAGAATGTGCTTCAATTGTTGATTGTATTTGGGCAGCACTACAAATAGTCAGAATGGACCCAGAACATGTAAGATGCAGAAAATGAAGCATATTTTGACAAGAGGTGGAGAGGAAAGGTAGCATCTGAGTTACAGTTAGGAATATTTATCTTGTTTCTTATTTATTGGTGCATGTGGAAACGGACACCTTGCTAATTTTGCTTAGAAACTGCATGCCATCGTGCTTTTTTGGATTGTGCTATTCGGGAGGTGGGCTGTGCGAAGCCTATTTCAGCACCACTCCCCCCTCAGATGTGTTGGGAATGTGAACTAGGAGGGCTAGAGGTGGTGGAAACTGGTACTGCACTGACTTGTTGAATTTTTACCTCCCCTGCTGCTGTCATTGTGGATATCATAAGACATGACACTGGACCCCCTTTCTGCTGATTGCCTTTGTCCTGGTCGCGGTTTTTAGATATTCTTTTGCTTCTAGATCGCCGTGCTAAGTTGTTGATTTGACAGTGCTGTAGTTCATTGTTAAGACGAAGCTGATCTGTGTTAGATGTCTACAGGGGTATGTGCTGTGAGGGTGTGATAAAGAGATGAAGATAGTGTAAGGTGAGAGAGAGAGAGATATGCATGGAGAGGATGAGAGAGCAGGAGACAAAGAGAGATAATGTGTGTGATAGAAAGCAAAGTAGGCTGTTACATAAGAGACAGGTTACAGCACCCACAAGCCTGAGAGAGGTTGTCGCACCTGGATACAGAAACAAACAAGAGGCGAGAGCGCCGCCCGCCGCCTCTCCACACCTGCCAAAGTGAGATCAGGGTCAATGAGTCTGATAGAAAATATCAGATGTTGAATTCCCTTCACTTTGGTTTCAGCAGATGGATTAAAAGTATGTGAGCGAAGCTGGACGAGGCCGCTCTGAATTCAGCCCTCCAGCAGAGGGATCTTCCCACTGACTTTTATTAGGGAGATATCTTGTGCATTTATTCAATATTATGCAAATGCAGCTTTATGTACCCCTGCAATCCAATCAGTGGCCTGCGTTCCCCCATAGAAACTATCAATACACTCCTCCTTCAATTTGGCTTTATCCTACAGGCTTTGTGTGAATGTGTGTGGATGTAGATGTTTGCATATCAGTGCGCATTTTGGTTTATGCGCTAGTGTGTATGTGTGTGTGTGCATCTGATGTTTGTTGATGTTGTGAATGAGTGACTGAGCGCGCATGCGGAGGTGGAAACAGCTTTTGGCTTTGGTGCCTTGCTTCGACGTGAGAAAAAAATAAAAAATCAAAAAATTCGCCACAAGTGACAGATGGCAATTTTAGTGGCCCTACAATGCTGCAGTCCATTAGCTTACATTGAAACTTCCTTTTACTCTGTTTAATAGCTCGGCTTAGTCTGCCCCAAGAGTAGTAGAATTAGGCTTTCTTTTAAAGCATGGCCAATGATCCATTGAGTAAAAAAAAAAATCAAAAAAAGAATAGAATGTATATGTTGATGGAGCAGGCAATGTGTGTGTATGTGTGCGTGTGCATGAGTTTGGGGTGTTCAGTGTCTGTGAGAGTTGTGAACAATGACCAGTGTTTGTTACTGTTGATTATGAGGTGTTGTTGATTATTTTGATATTGGTCAGTAATCTATTAATCAGAAAATAGCCCCGACATATTATTTACAACTATGTGCATCACTATCTAGAATAAAAGGGTTTCAGAACATGACAGAGATGTTGTTCAGATCAAAGAAAATGCCTGATGTTGATATTTCTGAAAGCGCCAAACGCCTTACTTCAATGTTTAATCTCTTATCTATCTGAAAACAATGTGTTTTAAAAGTGAACCTTAGTGACATCGTTATACACACAGGAGTCCTAATATGGGGTTTTACGTTTCTCAATGTTATGAAAGTGTTGTAAGATTTGTATGAATAAATTTTTGTAAACAACAAAAATTCCGTCTAATCTTTGAAGCCAATATCACCATAAGTCTTTAAGTTAAGACACATTTAGGAGGATGAAAAGGAGTGATAAAGACCAAACTCATTATATTCCTATA